CCCTCCCTACCTCCTGTTTCTGGGACTAAGAGCCTTGATAGGTTTTAAAAAAAAAATATGATCACTTTATTAACTATGCATCGTACAGGACTCTGTAACAGTCAAGGAAATGGTAGCCATTATTGTTCCTAGGCACACATTAATAAACTGTATTGAACAAAAATGTCAAATATATTATTAACTTGGAGGCTGAGCTAAGGGTAAATCCCCTCTGCCCTTCTCTAGTTTGCTCTCTTGCCTGGCTTATCAGGGTCATGGCCACATTTGGAAAGACCCAAGACAAATGTGAAGCTAAGTCATGGGGAGAGTTGATGGGTAATTTCAGCTTCTTCCTTTGGAATTATTCCCCAGTTCTGGGAATTAAAACAAGTGACTAACATGCAATCAGCACCTGCTTTGCCCACATAAACTAACCAGCCTCTATGTTTCCTCAACAGGCACTTCTTTTTATCTGCTCTCCCCATAATCTCCTCCTTCTTGTCCTCTCTTTTTGTTTTTCCTACAGACTCCTTTTTTCCCCCCAAAGACAGTTTCCCTTTTTTCTCATTGGGATGGTTTTTCTAACAGGCCTCCGTGCCGCAAAACTTTATCTCAAGTAAACTCCTCCTCCTTTGGGCCATACTCCTTTCTCAATTTTTCCTACCACCACCTCCAATTGTTTCCTTGGCCCACAAGGGGTGCTCCCAGTCCTGGGGGCTGTTGCAGACTCTCCCAATCTCCCCTCCACTTTTGCTCTGTTACCCCTGTACCATGTTGGATGTGAGTACCTCTAAACCTGCCTCTCCTTTTTACAGTTCCATGTAGGAAGGGGAAAATGAATCTTCCAAGATTCTAGGTTCTAAATTCACACCCATCTCACCTTATATAAAAAAAAATGACATCATGTCAGCAACTAAGAAAGAGAGAGAACAAAAACATTTGTTGTAATAGTGATAACAAATGATTGCCCCTCTAAACTCCACATTGTCGAATCAGGAATGTCAAGTTAATATTCATTGACCAGCAGAACGATGAGTTCTGCTCAGCAAGGAGACACTGTCCTCTCTCGGTTTGTGTGTACCCGTTACAAATGAGCAAGAGAGACCTGTGCAAAAGGAATTAATTCTCACTGTTGATCCAGCTGGCTAGTGACGGTACACTTCTCATACGAGGTGCCTGGCAGTGATTTGCCACTGGAGCCCCCTCGGCCCTGCAAGTGGTGTGTGACTAATCGAGCACTGTTACAGTGGAATTGCTAGGGATCTCCAACTGTGCAGAAATTTTCAAAGATATTTGTGCTGTTAGGCTAGCCCAAAATTTTAAAAGATTTTTTTGGCAAATACTATTGCTGGGATACATGGAAAGTCAGACATTTTAGGGAAAATATTCCCGTTATTTTAATAGTCAAGCAACATTGCAATGATAAAGAACTTGACTGTTCCAGAAAGCTCTGTCATGGCTTTTAGCTTCAGTGTTATAGCACTGTCTGAAACAGGTGGAAGATGCTCCTTGGTTTTTTGGGCAGAACGCAAAGCAACATAAAATAAGCTTTTCATCACACACAAATCCCTACCATAGTACAGAAATCTCCAGAAGAGACATTCTGGAAATTTTTCAATTCTTGATTGGCCATAAAAATGACTTGAAGGAATACTAGGTAATTTGAAATAATGCTTTAAGGTAAGATGAGAGGGAATACATTTTTTACTTCACATATAAGGTAGCAAAAACACACACAGTTAAGGGTGTTTGCTACCTCTGGTCACACATGCTACCCCATAGATGTCCTGGGGCCACAAGCAAAAGCCCTCCCTCCAAAGACCTATCTGACCCAGAGTCTTCCTAGCTCAGCTACAGGTCTTTCTGTTAGTGATCCTGACCAAAGCGGAAATAGTACAAAAGGACTCTGGTGGCAGGGTGAGAAATTGAGATTTTAAAGTACAGTTTTGACTCACAGAGTTAATTCATAAGGAATCACTGCAATCTCAGTGTGGTTTAAAATCAACATTCTGAGAAGTAAGTGAGGCATGAGACACTCCCATTTCAGGGAAACCTGGATGAATTGTCAGAGGTCACACGTGAAAGTGCCTCAGATATTTTAGGGAAGCAAATACTGTTCATTCAAAATAGGATATTGCCAAGCCTCACAGACCTTGATATTCATACTTCTTTCAAATGGTTTGGAAGAGCTGGTGAGGGCGGGTGGGGGGTGCAAAAAGCTTGCAAGCAGAGAAGTGAATGGATTATTGCAGAAAAAGACAGTAATCAGACATGAGATCTCAAATAAGAAGCAAATTTTGGCAGGCTCTATGTTAGCAACAATTTTCATCTGAAACATTCCAGCAATGTTTCCTGATTCAACTGCCCTCTGAGCCTGATGGAATGAACTGTGGTTTTTATTAGTGATAAAGCTGCCAAATAGAACCTTTCTTGAGTTATCAAAGCCACAATGGAAACTTGTACCAAACGCTCCAAATAAGCATTAACCAATGATGCAAATTTGGAATCATGACGTTTTTGTGGATTTGGCTCCAAGTCACACATGCTTTGAGGCTTTGAACATGGACTATTTGCATGTATTAAATCCGTTTCTGAAGAAGAGAGCTCAAAAAAACGGGATAGGAAACTTTGCATCTCGAGAGAGAGCCAAGCACTTTGTCTCATAACCAGAACATGACAAAGGAGGAGGGGAAGAAAAGAGACTGACTTTTGTGGAAGACTGAACTTTTCCTGAAAGTTTAACAAGGCAAAGGAACAATGTTTGGGTCATATAAGAACAAAGCTGTAACTAGGCCAAGTTCCTTCCATTTGCTGGCGGGGACATTTGCGCCAAACTCCCGTGCACAGAAAGGTCAGCCTCCTGCCTGCGGGTCATCATCCACCTAGGTTAGGTTTCCTCCTCAGATCCAGTCAAATGGCAAATGCGTCCTCTGCAATTTGAAAATGTGTATACTTTCCTGGGCACCACACTGGAGTCTGGTGCTGTGTCATGCGGGAGATTTGCAGGGACCCCTCTCCCCTTTCAAGAACCTGCAGAGAACATGCCCTCTTACCACCAGTTTTTATGATCTTAGACACTTACTCACCCTCCAACCATCTCAGACAATTAAGAATGATTACCTCTGAATCAAGGGCAAATCATCCACCAGTTTCCTGCCCAGGATTTGAGTGGGCAGAACTGCCCCTAAGAAACTCTATTTGTTAAATTAGATAAATGTGCACTAAAATTCTTCACTGAAACAGCTAGGGTAACCAAGGTGGGAAGATACGATCCATCACTCATGTTTTTGTAGATTCCCTTTCTTCCTGGCAGGGGGCAGATCTCCAAGTGCCTGGAGGATAGCCCAGGTCAAGAGAAGGAGACCCTGATCTGCCAGCCTTCCAGGCATACCAGACAATATCCGACCCTGGGGGCAGAGGTGCCTGCAGTCCTGTACCCATTCCTAAAATTGCTGCCCTTCCTCTTAAGGCTTCTTGGAGGACTTACATCACTTACAGCCCTTACATCACTGAAACACAGTAAGGGACTTTCTACTTGTACGACTTGCCCTGTGCCTCCATCCCATGAAGTAACCAACAGAGTAATTAATACTTGAGATTGGATTTTAAGTTCCTTAGTCTGGTCTATGTTTAGTCTATCTCTGTTCACACTCCCTTCTCCATGGAAACTGACATCTCCTAATTTTCTCGTAAAGGACTTAGTCCAGAATTGGAATCCCTAAGAGGTATTTACCTCAAAGCATTATCTGTCATCAGAAATACCTGGAAGGCTTGTTAAAACATAGCTAGCCTGAGAATGTTTACTTCTAACAAGTTTCCTGGTGATTCCGGTCGGGGACCACACTTTGAGAACCAAAGCCTACACCACAAAGTATTCACTTTCCTCCAGTGCCTCACTGTGCCTATCCCTGAATGCCCCCTCTTCCCAGCCCAAGAAAAGGAAAAGGGGAAGTTAGAGGCAGTGCTGGAGGCGAAAGGATTATAGGAGAATTGAAATAAACAAGAACACTTGAATATCTCCTAAGAATTGCTACTTGATCTCTTTCCCAGGAAATACAATTTCTTAATTTTTATTCCCTTCATGTATGAGTCTTATATACACAGCAAAGAATTTTTCTCTCAAAAAGACAATTTTTAATCTTTAAAACAGGACCTAAACCTTAATATTTCCTTCTGATGAGAATTAAGTTGGGGGGAGTTGGGTGAGATTCATCTCCCCTTTATTGTCAAATAAAATACCATGGAATAAAAGTTCAGTATTTACTGGGGGCCTACTTATGTGGCAAGGACAATATTAATAGAGCTAAGCGGTTTATATGCATCTTCTCAAAGGATTTTCCCAACCAATTTGAGAAATATGTTATTAGCCCATTTTACATATGCGGAAACTGAGAGTTAGGGAGGTGTTGTGGTAGCTAAAGACATAGAGCTAATCATTGGTAGGACAGGGATTCAAACCCAGGTCTGATTCCAGAGATCAAACTTTTCTGCCATAGATATTGGCATATTTTTCATAAATTTTATCTGTTATAATGTAAAATAATCAATTACAAAATTAAAGCATTGTACACATTATTAAACAATTCTACTGTGATACATCCAATCATTCGACATTCTTATTTATTAAGCACATAGTATGTGCCACCCACTATCGTTGGGTCCTGGGAACACAATGGTGTGTAAGATAGAACACTTCAAAATATATTTTCCCAGAATGTTTCAAGAAAAATTTTTTTTAGTTTGTCCTTTGATTAAAATTGTTCAGAAAGTACATGAGATTAAGTCCAGAATTTCACTCCTCCCTCATTTCTAGCAAATCTTTGACTTTCTAGAAATCTCAGTTTAACAAATTTATTTCTTGATTTTTCTTAAAGGAGCATGTGTTACTCCAGCTTTTAAAATATTGTTATGTAGATCGACTAATACATTTATAAAGTGCGAAGTTCAAAAGAAAAAAGGGCATCTAAGAAAAATTAATTTCCTTTTCACTCCTGACACGTGGTTACCATATCTTCATGGAGACCCACTATGCACAGAGTCTTCTTTCCTTCCTGTCTTTGCATATTAACACCATCTACAAAGTGCTAGTTTCTATTCTCCAGTTGATCTTGCAAATCATGTCATATCATTACCTACTTTGTTCTTTGTTCTTTTGAACCACCGTGTATGGATATAAATCTAAAATACGTACCATGGTATTTAATTAGGCTCTGTTGATGAACATATAACATGGTCCAATATTCTGCTATTACAAATAATTCTACAAAGTCTCCTTTCGTGTGTATATCAATTTAGATATGAGCAAGTCTATCTGGAAGAGAATTTTCCTGCAAGGAAAAATGCTGGGTTAAGGGCAAATGGTATGAACAGTTTTAACTCAAAAACTTTGTTACAATGGCATTTTTCAAAAAATTACAGATGGATATCACAAGTATAATGGCCCCCCACATTGAAGTTGGTCTGCCCAACTTCAATGGGTAGTGTTGAGCCACAACTGATACTACATCATCTGATATGGGCCCTATCTACTCCCCTCACCTCATGCTATTTTGAAACACTCCCTCCCCTACCCCGCACCAGACATGCTAATTCATTGGTGAATATTTTGGCACTGTTTCTGAAAACTAAGGGTGTTGATAATGTGCATATGTGTGTAATTTTATCATCATACCTAAAACAAATTATGGTTTATTAATGGCAAATATCTTGGTAATGCCACATTTCCCCAGATTATCTCATGAAAATTTGTGTTTTAATAGTTTATTCTTTGATTAAAAATCTAAGTTAGGTACATCCATTCATTCATTGCAGTTTGTTAAATTTTTTTTCAAATCTGTTTCCACTTCTATCTCTCTCCTTTTTTTCTTTCCTTTTTTCCTAAGCATTATTGTGGATATGGGGTAAATTTGCCTCCAAAATCTAGATTTTGCTTATTACATCCCCTTAGAGTCATTTACTATGTTCTTCTATTTAGTTCAAAGGAGAAATGTAAAGTTAAATTATAGAATTTCTTAAAAATAAGTTAAGGGGGCCTCCCTGGTAGCGCAAGGGGTTGAGCCTCAGCACGATGAAGCTCCGGCCAGCCACTGAAGCACAAGTTGGATCCCTGGCCAGCGAGCTGGCCCACATGGTGCAGCAGACCTCTCCTGTTTCTCCCATTGCTCCCCTCAGCAGTGTATTTCAGTCAATCTGCCTGTTCTGCTCCCCACTCTGTCTCTTGTGAATCTTCCCAACCCCTGCACCTCTGGCCTGTACCCCAGCTCTTGTATGCATAAATAAATAAATCTTTAAAAAATAATAATGATAATTTTTAAAACATTTCAGAATCTGTGCGATGCAGCTAAAGCAGTTATTAGAATAAAACACAGAGCTTAAGGAGTACTGTAAATAAAAATAAAATAAAAATAAAAATTATACATACAATTCAGGAAGCTTAAAAAATTAACTAAAAGCAAATAAGCTGAAAGAAGATAAACACAGAAATAATTCGTGTTTATTTTTTTCAATTTGTTTTTTCAATTGAAGCTTTAGATTTATTCTTTGAAAACTAGGAGATCATTTGTAATTTGCAGCTATAATGACAACAAATTTAGATAACTATCAGAGGGAAAAGACTTTTTTATATGCATCTTGCTCTGAATGTCAAGACACTGACTGCCTAGACTGTGGGTGGGAATTCAGACCTGGCCCAAACTTCCCTTCTGGGGGGAAGTTGGAGGGTCAGGAAGGGAAAGCTATATCCCTCATATCCAATCTAGCTAGGATTAGGTCAATGGCCAGTGTCAGCCCTCTGGACCTGGCTGGAGAGATGCAGGTTTTGGGGGCATTTCCTATCCTGTAAGATACTGGCAGGGCTTTTTCATATGTTCGAATCTCAGCTCGCATAGTTATTATTCAGGAGACATTAGGCAACTATCTCTGAGCTGAAATTTCCTCACCATAAAGCTGGGGTGAAAATCTTTACCTAAGAGGGATGAGGCTCATGTGGAGTTAATGCCAAGTGAGTGGAAGCCAATTTGGCAATTGTCAGGTTCTATGCTTTCAGGATGGAGACCCATGGAGAGCCTCCAAAGTATGGTGTAGGCTGAATGTCAAACTAGAGAAAGCAATGAAATAGTTCTTCCTTCCCAGAAGCCTACTGAAGTTTCAAAACAACATGCTGGGCCTCCCTGGTGGCACAACGGGTTGAGCACTGCACTATGGGGCAGTCTACAGCCTCTGTATTACCAGCCAGGGAGAAACCCACATAGCAAGGCAGACCTCTCCTGTCTCGCCCGCTGCTCCTCTCAGCAGTGTATTTCAGTCAGTCTGCCTGTTCTGTTCCCTGCTCTGTCTCTGGTGGATCCTCTCACCCCCCTCATCTCAGCCTGTACCCCTGCTCTTGTATACATAAATAAATAAATCTTTCAAAATAATGTGCCTGCCCACCATTTCTCCTAAGCCTCTGTGGGCCATCAGCTCATCCTCTGTGGTAACCACGCCTGCTTGCAGGAGTTGGTCACCTACTCAAATCAGACACTTCTATCCCTCTGCCCCCTTTCCTAGCTGTGGGGCCCAGTCTGTGTGTTCTCTCTTGAACAATACCATCTGTTTTGTGTGTGGGCGATGTTTTTCCACATCACTTTTGTCTCTCCCTGTCCCCCACCAGGCATCTAAACAGTCCTCTTGCCCTGAAGTGTCTGGTGTTGGAGATTGGGCCTTTGTTAGTTCCCTCCCTAGGGGAGCAAAGAACCTGGCATTCTTCATTTTTTTTGGTCATCTGTGGGGTTCCTTTTCTGTAATTTTAAAAAAAGATTTATTTATTTATGCACACAAGAGTTGGGGTATAGGCCAGAGATGAGGGGGGTGAGAGGATCCACCAGAGACAGAGTGAGGAACAGAACAGGCAGACTGACTGAAATACACTGCTGAGGGGAGAGGTTTGCTGTGCCATGTGGGTCACCTCCCTGGAGGGCCTGGGGATCGAACTCGTGCTGCAGAGGCTGTGGCTTGCTTCCTAGTGTGGTGCTTAACCCCTTGCGCCACTAGGGAGGCCCCTTTTCTGTAATTTAAGACAGAAAAAAAGCAAATGCATCCTAGGAGCTAGCTTCTGCCTTCCCTGGACTTGGTAAGCAGCCCTATTCCAAACCTCCTGCCTCTCCTACCACCTTCCCGGCTTTGCCAGCCTGGGTTCCCAGGTGAGTAGGGACGCCCGTCGGGTTCCTTTCACTCGGCCGCGGCAGGTCCTGGGCGGGCCCGCGGTCCTCGCCGAAACTCGCCCCTGTGAGTGGACTCTGGGGGCGAAGGTCTTGGCAACCACGCGGCGCTGAAGACCAAGGTGGAACCAAGGGGGCAAACAAAGAATCGGGTCCAGAGCGCGGCAGCCCCGGGAGGTGGCGCGGCCACCAGGAGCCAAGGGGCACCCTCGCCCCCTCAACAGGGTACCCTCCCCCCTCCAAGGGGTACCCTCCCCCTCAGCGCCCCGCGCCCCCGGGGCCCCTAGCCGGTGCCAGCGCGCCGAGCCCGCGCGGCGCAGAGGAGGCGTGCGTCTCCTTATATGGTCAAATGACACGGCGGGGGTTCTCCGGGGCGGGAGCTCGCCGCGCTCCACTCGCCCGGCCGAGCCGCCGCAGCCTGCAGCGCCCGGCAGCTGCCGCCGCCCGGGACGCCTGCCCGCCCGCCCCGTCTGGGACACCGGCTCCTGCGAGCGGTGAGTGCCCTCCGCCCGCTGCCGCGGGAGGGAGACTGGAGTCTCCACCGGGAGGCTTGAAAAGAAGGGAGCAGAGCCGTGGGGACACCCGGGGAGAGGGGAGCCGAGCCGTGGGGAGACCCCGGGAAAGGAAAACCGAGCCGTGGGGGCACCCGCAGAGAGGGGAATCCAGTCGTGGGAGACACCCAGAGAGAGGGGAGCCGAGTCGTGGGGGCACCCCGAGAAATGGGAGCAGAGCTGTGGGAGAAAGCCAGAGATGAGAAATCTCAACCCTGATGGACGATGTGGGCTGGAGAACCCACCGCCTGGTCTCGGGAGGAAGCACCCTCAGGTGGCCGGGCGGGGCTGTGCCACCCGCAGCTGAGCCCTGAGCTAAGGCTGGTCTTGTGTGGAGCACCAGGAGGTGACCGCCTCTCGCTCCTGGGGCCTCCGCTCCCTAGTGAGTGGTGTGGCTCCGTGGTGGCCCCTCTCTGTCAGGGGTGTCCCTGGTAGCATCCTGCAGTAAGAAGAGAACTTGCCTTGTGGCCTCACTCACTGTTTCCTGCGGAAATTCAAAAACACCACCAGGTCTTTTTAAAAATGGGCTTATTTTAAATGAAAAAAAAAATTCTTATCGCAAATTGCTCTCCTGTGATAACCTAGCATGATATTTCGGAAGAGAGTGTTAATCATTTCTGATTTTAAATGAGGAGGGGGATCATATTTATATTCAAATTCCCCTTGTGATTTCCATTAGGAGTCTAAGCCAGGTTAAGTGAAATATACACATGCACTCCCTTTCACTTATCTGGGAAGTAATAAATTAAAGCTAGAGCTAATAATCAGGAGTACTGAGTTCCAAACACAATGCCAAATAAGTCTGGCACCTTTGCCTGTGCTTTATAACAGCAGGAGGCAGCTTTGGTCTCCTGAAGGTGATTTAGACCAGAAAATATTTGAAGCAAATCTTAGTAGGACATGAATTCCTAGTCTGACCATTAAACTTTCATAAAACTAAACTTAATGAGGAATGTTTCATTGTGCACTCATGTGAAATGTTCTCAAGGTGTTTTTCAGATATAGCTCACCCTGACTTTTTAAGGCTTATCATTTAATGTATAGAATTGTTTGTGGTGCTTCAAAATGCTTTTAAACAACTGCATGTAGATAAAGCCAAAATGGAATTTCCTGACCAGCAGGCACAGCTCTAGGCACTTAGAGTTTCATTTGGTCCTCACAAGTATGCCACGAGGTGAGGGGGAATAGGCCAGGGTGCAGGCATGGACTGGAGCTAAGCTGCCTGCCTGATGTCCCCATCTCTCAGCCTGGAGTTGTGCAACCTTGTCCTAACAGACACCTAATAGCTTGGTGTCTGTTTCAACTGGAAAACAGGAGTATGGTGGTAGCTTCAGGATTGTTATAAACCAGCACTTCATAAGCAGTAAATACATACTTGATATTATCCTAGTTTTTACAAATAAACTGAAGCACAGGGAGATGAGAGTAACTTTTTCTCAAGGTTTCCCAGCCAGCAAATGGTGGCTCCAAGTTCTGACCTCAGACAACTTAACTGGAGAGTTGAGTTGTAACCACTAAACTATTAGGGGCACACCTAAATATTTCAGTGAAGCCTTAGGCTGCCTACTTTGACCCAAGATTGCTTGTTAAATCACTTCCTGCCCAGCAGGATACTGAAAAAAATTAGACTGGGCATAAGGTGGCTTGGATTCTATCCCTGTCATGCCCCGAGGTCAGTTGCTCAGCCCCATGACATGAGCTACCTCAACTGTCTTCAAGGGGGTGAAGTATGTAAGCTTCTCTCTGACTCAGATACTATGGGAAAAAAAGCTCCATAAGCCTGAGTGAACAGAAACATAAGATGTTCGATACTTCCTTGGTCATTTTAGAATGAAAATGTTATCAAAGCTACAGAGAGGCCACTTTCTCAAGGAGCCCACATTGCACAAAATGCACGGATTGAGAGCCTGGTCTTCCAGGAGGCCAATCCTTGTGCCTTTGGGTTAGTCAAGGCAGTTGCTTTTGTCATCCAGAATTGTGGATTTCAACTTTAGCTCCTGTCACAGTTCTTTACATTTCAATTTGACTGGGCCACTGGACACCCAGGCATTTGACCAAATCACTTTCTGGGTGTGCCAGTGACAGTGTTTCAGGATGAAATTAGCATTTGAATCAGGAAACTGAGTAAAACTCATTGCCTTCCCCACTGTGGATGGGCCTCACCCAATCTTTTGCAGACCTGAATAGTACAAGGTGGAGCAGGTAGAACTTTTGAGCTGGAATATTGGTCCTTTCCAGCCTTAAGACTCAGATAGAATCATCCGTTCTCCTTGGGTTTTGAGACGGCAGCTTATGAACTTACACCATGTGCCCCCCTGGTTCTCAGACCTTCAGATTCAGACTGGGTCTAGCATTCTAAGGTTCCAACTTGCTAGCTTCAGGTCTTGAGGTTTCTCAGCCTCCAATATTATGAACCAGTTCCTTATAACAAATTTTGCAGATAGGTATAGATACGTGTATATAATGTCCCACTGGTTCTGGAGATCCTCTGAAGAAACCTAACCAATACTTTGCTTAAAAATTTTCCCCATCATCTCCAGTCTCACTTTTTAAAGATGCCACCACTACTTTGCCACATCAGGTGGTCCAGATTTTCCTCTTGCTGTAAACTGTGGTTGACCACCAGGAAATATAACAGAGGTCTGGGGCAGCATCTGGTCTCTCCACTGTCAGTCCAGTTCTCATGGGATAATCTCATGCTTAATCTGAGCCTGGAGATCATGTGCCATCACACTCTTTTGCCTACATAATCATACCTTTATTGCTCCAATTTAGCATATGAGGTTAAATAAGAGAAGCATTTGTGCCTTGTTTTTATAGGTAAATAAAATTAATGTCAAAGGGTATCCCAGAATATAATCTTGTAAATTTGTAGGTTGTAAACATACCCTATAAATTTCTAGGTTTTCAGATCTATGATGATAGACCTTTTGGAACAAGAATTAACCGGTCCAGGAAGGAAGCAGCAGGGAATGTTCGAATCTGTCATGACAATATGTTGATGCTGAAACCAAGCCCCATGAAGGGGCAGAACTGGAGGGAGAAAGAAGAGGCAAGTCTTTTGTGCAAGTTGGAGGTGGTCAGAGGAAAAGGCCAGTCAGGGTCAAAGCAAATGAATTCCATACATGGGCTAGTAACAGGTTGCCTTTTGGAGACTGGAGGAGACTGGTGACAGAGAATGAGTGAGCAGTTGTCATTGTTCTTATAGAAATTGAGAATAGGGGCCTCCCTGGTGGCGCAGGGGTTAAAGTTTCAGGGCTATCAAGCTATTGCCCGCAATCACTGCATGAGTTCGATCTCTGACCAGGACTAGGGAGCTGACCCACATGGCGCAGCAGACCTCTCTTTGCCCACTGCTCCCCTCAGCAGTGTGTTTCAGTGGATCTGGCTGTTGTGCTCCTCACTCTGTCTCTAGTGAATCCTCTCACCCCTAGCACTTCTGGCCTAGACCCCAGTTCTTGTACGCATAAATAAATAAAAATAAAACTTAAAAAAAAAAGAAAGAAAGAACCCAAGAATAAATAACTTGCTGGCATGTTCCCAGAAAAGCAATGATAGAGCTGGCAGTGGGATCTTCCTCTGAGCCTCCTCCACTCACACCGGTGCGATTTATGAGACGCCCACCATTCTAACCTGCTTATCTTGCTTCACCTGAACTGACACATTCTCAGATTAAATTACAAGATAGTATCTCAAAGGTGATTTAAATTCTTTGGAGCTGGAACCTGACTGGACCTTTTTCAGAAATTCTGTTTTATCTTAGTCCCGGTGCTAAGACAGCACTTGGGAAATAGTGGTTACTTTCCACTTTCTGTCGCCTGAATTTGAATGTCTACATGACATTAGAACAACTATCACTATTCTTATATATATGGATTTAAGATCACATATTTTACATTTCTGATTTTCCCATTCCTTTTCATTGTTCAAGATCTAAAAAGCTAATTCAGAAGACAGCGGATTGCCTTATTCAAGCATTGCCTCTCATACAAAACATTTCTTCAAACTATTAGACAAATCAAGACTTTTTAAAATCTGAGAGTTACCAGTTTGCAGACCAAATTATAATATATCCCTGCCGCTGCCCATAGGTGTATTCTATAAGGCTCATTCAATGGATCCATGAATATGTTATATAGCAGTAGATATAGCAGTCTCACCTCTTACCAGCAATCATAAAATCAGTCTCAGATGGACTCTAAACACATCATTACATATTTTTAAATAACAATATCCGTCACAACCAGTGTCCCTCTCCCTGTCACCAGAATTATTATTTAAAAGAAATAGTTGGATTGGACCTATGAAAAGAGATTTGGGTGAGTCGTGTTTCTGTGTCTGCATTTCCATTGGAGCAAGTTGTTCCAGTTCCTAGTTGGAGTATATACTTTTGAATAGATGATCTTTTACTTACAGGCATGTTGTATCTGTGTAGAACATTCTGGGTCTTTTACTGATACTCTTGAGTTGGATTCTAGCATATTCTTTACAGAGATGCTCGGAAGAGTCTACTGGCTGGCTTTCTGTCTCTTGATCTCCAGGTCTCATCCTGGACCTCACAGCTGTGTGTGTTCACATGGGTTTCGAATTCAAATATAGTAAGAAAAATTCTGCCTGCTGTGGAAGCAGCAGTTTATCTGGAAAATAAAGAGGTCAGAGACAGAAGGAAAGGAATGAAGTTCAGCATCTGTTATGTTAGAAATTTTAATTGCATAAGATGCCAAACCACATTACATTTTGGGTTTGCTATCAAAATGGATCACTGAAATAAAACATTCCTTATTTCCATACTTGATTTTTGCTCATATGTTTGTGCTCTGGAATGTTTGTATTCATCTGCCCACCCATCCATTTGTATACTCATTCTACCAATGCTTGTGAAGAACCTGACCTGCATTTGTCACCTGCCAGCGAGGTCGCAGCAATGCACAGTGTTCACCTTCACAGCAGGTATGGCTTGGTGGGTGACACATTGTCCCGAACACACTGTGTTTTTAACTAGAATCTTAAATAGAGCCCACATGCCACAGACTGATTTTCTTAACTCTGTCTACAAACCTCCGGCTGATTATTAATAAGCCACATTTTTCCCACCTTCGTCCCTGGTGGCATTTCAGAATGAGCATGGCTTTGTCAGAGACACACTGCAGCTGCTCATGCTGTTTCTTCCAAAGTCTGGGAGCACTTGCAGATTTCTCTTTAGGAGGTGAATGTTAGTGGTCTCACAAGGCATGCAGGGCTGATGAAAAACACTTGGGTTTTTAGAAGAGGAAAATGGGCACCTTTGGTTCAATTCAAAGTAGGTCGTTGAAGGAAGGTAACATTGAAAGGGATGCTTAATGGAAACTTTTCTTGCAAATTTGGACTTGTTAGGTGTGCGTGGCCCCCCAGACCTCCCATTTGGGAAACTGGGTCCACCTGCCCAGCAGAGGCTGCCCACTAGGCCAATTCACAGCCCGCCCCCAAACACACCCCGTTGTCAAGAACTGTCTCGGCCTCTCTTCAACCTCATCTACTGTCCTTCCTCTCTCTCTCGATTAGCTCCACCGTCTCTACTTCCCTTTTCTCATTTTGCTTTTCCCTTCTCTCTTTCTCATATTTTTCTCCTCTCTTCCTAGCTCTGATACTGCCCCCATCAAACTTTATTTTACAGTTTTTCAATCTGAGAAGGTAAAATAACGGATATTTATAGATCTGTGCTTCTAAAAGAACCATAGTTTTCAGTAGTGAGCCCTGTGCCTTCTTGCTCTAGGACCCTCTTGGTCTTCCTCTCACATCTGACTCTGTGTCTGTCAGCCGCAGGGAGATCCAGGTGCCATCCTGGCCACCCCAGCCCCCCAGCTACCAGGGACATGCTTTCCTGGAGCTAGGTCTTACCTTGGCCTTGCTGGGACTGAGCGCCCGCTTTTTCAGACACTCTGGTTATTCAGATCTGAAAGGGAAATGACATCAGAGCAATACCTCTCCCTGCTGGAGACGGAGAACCCAGGTGCTGTAATCTGGAGCTGATTCACTGAAATAAGGAGTTAGCAGTAACACCTTGGGCTCAGGTGTCTTTTGGTCTGCTCTCTCTCTACCCTTTCAGCATTTCTGGGTACAGTCACGGGCACAGAGCATACATAGCCTGTTGGGGCCAGGGGATCGGAGGGGAGGGGGACCAAGATAACCTGTTTTTATCTGAAGAAGCAATTCAGAAGTTGTCTCCAAGTCCTGGAAAAGAGCGCTCCCTTGGCTGTGTCCCCACAACCCTCCACAGCAGAATCGGGGCTTATACAGTAAACTTCCAGCAGGGCTCGCGTCTCCCCTGAGCACAGCCTGCTGGGAGGTACCGAGCCAGTCTGCCAGGGCAAATACACAGCCGCTGTCTGGGGCACAGGCTGCCCTTTTCTTGACCTTTTGACTGTCTTTTCAGCTTCATCTTTGCTGTTCCTGGACTAATCAAGGTCACTCCCATTTCCTGGGGTGTCTGCTCAGCCTGCCTGTTTCTTATCTCCATGACTAACTTCTGCCCTTGGCCTTGCCCTCACCTAGCTAATCCTTTCCCAGCACAGGTTGCTTCTCCTCCAGGACTCTGCCCTGCCCTCCCCTGGCTCTCCTATACCTGTGTGTCTCCCCATTATTCCACCGAGTGTGGAGCTTTCCAGGCTGGGTGATATGTTTTCCTCATTCACTGCACATTTCTTCAGGGAGGGGGTCTGCGTCTTATACACCTTTGTATCTCACACAGTTCTAGCTCAGTGATGCTTCTCGAGTGAATGAACCAAGTCTGTAGAGGGGTGACACAAGCAGGTTATTGGGGGCTTCCATTCGTGGACTGTGGATAATATTTCCCCATTAAACAGAAGCTTAAGATTGATAGTATAGGGCCTACCTGGTGGCGCAAGGGATAAAGCACCGCACTATGAAGCAATCAACAGCCTCTACAGCACAAGTTCGATCCCCAGCCACCAGGAAGCATACCCACATGGCGCAGCAGACCTCTCCTGACTCGCCCGCTGCTCCCCTCAGCAGTGTATTTCATTCAGACTGCCTGTTCTGTTCCCTACTCTGTCTCTGGTGAATCATCTCACCCCCTGCATCTCTGACCTATACCCCAGCTCTTGTATGCAAAAATAAAAAAATAAAATATTTTAAAAAAAGATTGAGAGTATAACTGTAAATATACATTTTTTTTTTTTAAAGAATCTTCTATTGGTAGTGTTTAATTAGAGGAAGATTGGCTTTAAACACTTGGCTAATTAAAAGGAGCTGTTCATTTTCTCATTAGCTTATGGGCTACTTATTCTGCCTCTCAGGTCTTGTGTGTTATGTGATTCTCTGGAAATCATAAGAGGAATTTCTCAGATAAAGTGTATCCTGCTCTGTCCCTAATAGTATGGTACTCATTTTATACCCTAACTGGTTGATTTGAGAAGTACTCTCTAAGCACTAAAACTGTAGTGACTTCTGAGAGAAGATAAGGAACAAGGTGGGAACTAGATCCCCCATTATCGGAAATGGTTCTACAAAAACAAGAACCCAAACCCAAGTGCCGCCTCCCAGTCAGACCTGTGGAGCCGGTCACAGCCGCTGCACTGTTCCCGCCAGGAGTCATTTCAATGGTGGGGATGTCGCTGTTTGAGCAGATATGGATCTGCTTGTTCACAGGGCTTAACCCCGTAGGTGATTTCTGTCCTGGTGCTGTGCACTTGGAAAGGAGAGAAAATACATACCAGGAAGATGAGTGTAATGAGCTTCCCTTGGATACAAAAAGCTCTTTTCAGGAGCTTGAGAACACAGAAATGGTGTCTGTCCTTTCTCCAGCAGAGCCTGTTCAAACTCACATGGAACCACCTTTTGATTTGAGCTGGGAGGTTGTCTTTTCTGAGTTAGAGGGTTATTTGGGAAAGCGTGTGTGAAGGTTTTGTTTTCATTAGTATTTCTGGGTTCCAATTTTTCCATCCATAAAATGAGCTCATTGTCATAGATAATCTCAGGAAACCTTTTCAGTTTTTAAAGTTCTGATTTATGGTTCTGCAATTCTACAATCATTGTTCTTACATTTGTGTGGAGAGATTAGGCTACAAGACTCCGCAGGTATATGGCAGCCTTAACTGGAAAAATACATATGCTGAAGACAGCTCTCCATTGTGATGAAATGAATGATGACCCCTTTCAAGGCCAATAACTTGAGAGTTACAGGAAAGCATTGACGCGTTGGCCAACGTAGCGGCTGCAACCTGAGATGGCCTTAGTGCAAAGGATATTTATATGTTGGGCTTCAGAATAATAATTCCAATGCTCAAGAGCCTCATTTTGTGATGTTATCACAAGAATATCCAGACAGTGTTTTCTTTAACCCCAGGAAGAGCGATTCAGAAGGATGGAACTTGCCACGTGTGTCCAGCTGCCTGTTTAATACTCTTAGGAAAAATTGTTCTATAAACATAAAAATAAGCAAGTATGGATGGTGGAAAGATGTTCATTTCTTTGTTTACAGTTGTTAGAATTGTGTATACGTAAGAGTAGGAAATTAATAAACACTATCAAATTTGCTGTTTTTGTAAGCCAAGCAGCAATATTTAATTTGTATCATAGGATGTTCTTCTGGAATTTCGCTCTTTAATGGTTGGAAATGACTGAAACTGAGCCAAGTTTAATTGGAGTTCATGAAACATTGCATAGAGTTACCTAGCCAGTCTACATATTTAACAACTTATAAAATTTTTCACGTTTAGCAAATTAAATATTGGCCACAGGAAATATTCCTCAAGATCGACTCTATGTTTTTAACACCCTGGAGGTGTTTCTGCACATCAAGTGCCCTCACAGTAGATTCATTCTTTCTGGATCATTCTAACATGTTTGTATAAGAATGGCAGGTGAGAAGGCAGAGAAACAAAAGGCTCTTGCCTCCCTCCATCCCCACCCCCTCTCTTACTGCTCACACACTCTTATGAGCTCACTCTGGAAAATGCAGGGTCTCTGGCACAGAGCAGCATTCTTGTTCCTCTTTGAAAGGTGCAAGGTGCTGCCTGGGAGGCCATGGATGGCGGACGCTGCATTTCCCACCGTGTGTTAATTCTTGTTCTTGGAAGCCAGTCTTTTTCTTTCTCCTCTCTGGATACCTTGGCAGTGGAAAGATCATCTTTTCATCTTGGAGATATGACATGCCCTGAGGGACGTGTGGCAGCCCTGCTTGTGCCAGGGCAGGCTGTGCTTTCCAGGGCCATGTCAAGGTCAAGAGTCAATATTCTTGGCATCTGTCAGGTTACCAACACAGATCCCCATCCCTTTTGCCACTGGTTTCTTACTATTAAAATTTACAAATCACAAAGGTAAGCTCAAGAAAATCTCCTTATAGAAAATGGGGAGGGGGGCGGTGGGAGAAAGAGATATGAAAATTTAAAAGGAGGGATGAGGGCTCTTACTTGCATCTAAAATTGACATTTTTTTTTTTTTACAAAGTCAACAATAATTGTACTTTTCAAGAGGTGGAATGCATTCAAACACAACACCGCCCACAATTAACTAAAAAAAAAATGTGTGATGGAAAATTATGAACATGTAAAGGATGAGTTTCTGTGATTCACCCAGAGTTGCTAGCTACCCATGGGCTACAGCTGGCATATCAGGGGGATGGTCACTGCCTCCGTGCACACAGCATTGGGGGTGGGGGCATGCTCTCTGCAACCTGTATTCTCTCTTTTTTTCGGACAGGTTGTTGAAAAGCTGGATGTCAAAATGACTGAGCGCTTTGACTGCCACCACTGCGAAGAGTCTCTCTTTGGCAAGAAGTACATCCTGAGGGAGGAGAGCCCCTACTGCGTGGCATGCTTTGAGGCTCTCTACGCCAGTACATGTGAAGAATGTGGCAAGCCCATTGGCTGTGACTGCAAGGTACCCTGGGGCCCCCTCCTCAGCAGTACCCCATAACTCCTAGACCCTTTGGTGCTCCCCAGGCACCCTCCACAAGCCTCTGCAGGCTTTGTGCTAAAGTCCTAATTCTCATCACCTCTTGGAATTCCATCTGATGGACTTGGATCCTTCAAATAACCTTTCTGATCCATTTCACTCTGGCTGATTTGGTCTCTGCCCACTCCTGACTTTAGGGTGCTTGGTTAGTGCTTTTCCAGGAGGTTTGTGCTTAGCTTCCCAAGTTCTCCTCTAATATTCTAGCTATTAGTGTTCTTATCAAACCACCAACCCCACCTCCCAATACTGTTGATGTTACTGTGCTCATGCCGACTCACAGGTGGCAGATACTGATCCATCAATGTTTGATGAATGTGCCCATGACTGAACCTGAGCTCCAGATATATGGATGCATACAAGCATTCGGTTCACTGGAGCATTAAGGGGTCTTTTCTTTTTATGGAGAAGATCAGGATTTGCATTGCTCCTTTCATGAGGGGTAGGGCACAAGGAATGACCACTTTTCCTGCTGCGGATGACACAGCAGTTTCAGCAGACACACCCAGTAATTTGTGCCACTAGCTGTGGCTGAGTGTTGGGAATCCTGGCCTATACTCAGCATTTAATTAGTCCAACCTGGACCTCGAAAGGATGCCCCAGGATCTACCTATGTCTCTAAGATCTCCAGTAACTTCACCTACAAAACATGCTTGATAATCCTGAGAGCCACAGAACTGGTAGGAGATGGAGTCACTGTGGAATCTCTAAAGGAACTCCCAACTTAATAGACTCTGGGGTGACTCATGGCATTTTATGATCTCTTTCCTGCTTTCATTGCTTTGTACTCTTTGGGGATTTCTGCCACTCTCCTCAATGGTTATAAATACCAATATCTATCTCTGATTGACTGAGTTAGGCTGCGTTGTTTGCACGTGGACAGTTCTCACACACCCAAGGCATCTTGCTGACTCTCTTTGATCATCTTTCCTAAGAAAGGCAGTAAGCAATAAACGGCCCCGCCAGCTTCTGTTGCTAGGTGTTCGGTGACAACTGAGGAATAATTTCCGCCTTGTGTGGAAAGAAGCCTTTGCCTTCGGTAGAGCAAAGGAGGTGCAACCTGGGCCATTTGACACCAGGCTGCAGCCACGTATTTTCCAGCTTCAGAGGAATGGCACACCACTCCTAAAAGAAGTAAAACTCACCAGCTGTCCTGTGTAAAAAGCAGAATTGGCCACCATGAGCAAAAAGTAGCTGAACTTGCTAGTCTAACTTTCCTGTCTCTAGCTTTGCCTGATGCAAAATCCCGCCGTGTTTAATGGACTTTCTTATCCCCTCCATTTTTCCACAACAAGCTGCCTGGCTCCAGTCCTGGCTCTGTATCCCCCTGGCCATACGCACTTGGGCTAGCCCTTGACTCCTCTGTGCACACCTTCACATCTACAAAGTGGAGAACAAACAAGTGTGCCCACTTCATCAGTTACTGTGTTATAGAGACACAAAACCCTCCACATGCCAAAGGCCAGTCAGTGGCATAAACTCCAACCTTCTACTTTTCTTCTGACTGCTTCCTATTCTTTCTACAACACATTCCCTCCACACACCTTTCAGAAGCTTCACCTCTTTATCAGTCTCATTATAGAACCAGTGCCTCCCTGGTGGCGCAGTGGATTGAGCACTGTGAAGCTGTGAAGCTGTCCGCAGCCTCTGCAGCACCGGTTCGATTCCCGGCCGGCCAGGGAGATTCCCACATGGTGGGGCAGACCTCTCCTACTTTGTCTGCTGCTCCCTTTAGCAGTGTATGTTGGTCCTTCTGCCTGTTCTGTTCCCTGCTCTGTCTCTGGTGAATTCTCTTACCCCTCTGGTGCCTCTGGACTATACCCCAGTGCTTGTATAAATAAATAAAAATAAATAAAAAATAAATAAAAAAAGAACCATAACAATGTCTAGTTTGAAGAAAAACCTGAGACAGAGAAAGACATGTCTGTAAAAGTTTTACCTGAAAAAGATGTAAGGAGGTGAGAGGTTCATATATTATTCTGACACAGAACAAGTCTGATTTAAAGGAAGCACATTGGATATTTGGGGTTAATCATTCTTAACCAGTGGCTGAAGTCAAAACAAAGTAAAAATCACTTATCATTTCTTCAATGTGATTTAATGGAAAGATCCTCAGACTCTCAAAACTAGTTATTCTTCAGCACATACTTTGTGAGCAAATAAGCAAGAATCCCCTAAATGGGGCCAAAATCAACAAAATCAACTGCTGTAAAGTCAGGAGTTAATTGTGCTGAACTTTTCAACCAAGATGAATGGTTTACTATATGTGGAGTTATGCCTTGTGATTTTCTACATTTTGGAAGAAAAAGAGATGTTGATTTGAAGTGAGACCTTGCCATTTGGGGCTTTTCAATAGTTGGAATGGTTTTCTTGACTTTCAGAAATAATTGTGGAGTTGACTTTGGGAAGGAAACAATGATAGAAAAAATGTTCCTGTTATTTCAGGAGGGATAGCCAAAGTCCTGGCAGGCGGGCTCAGGCCTGAGCGACTGGCTTGTCAGATCTGGTGCCATTCTCCTTTCTTAAAATAGCTCAGGCACCAGAAGCCTCACTTCCCTCTCCTGCCGAAGGACATGTGTGTATAATTTTTAAATATTCATAAGACCATAGAAATTTCACTAATTTTGTGGGTATTTACTGACTATTAAATGAGATCGATGATACTTCAGGCTGTTTTCATAGTTAGCTTTCATGTTTGAAAGTCATTTCTAGGCAGTGACTTAATTATATCCTTTATTTCTATTCGTTCCTTAGAGAAAATGCTGTGATCTCCAAGAGGAAAATCAGTCATTTTTCTGGCTAGTAGAATCGTTGAGAACAAATAATACAAATAAAATTTCATGATTTGCTGGCATGTTTTTTCTGAAATTTTTCTTGGATACTTGTTGATATCAGTAAAATACTTTTTTAGCCAGATTACAGATGGTTCTTGGATAGGTCTACCTAAGTCCTGGGCTTCAGAATTACAAGAAACAAAGAAAAGATAGATTGGCCAATAACTCCAGAGATGGCTGGAGGGACCATACATTTAACAAATCAGTGACTTTAACAAATGGGGCCCTACATCTAACTCGGGCTTGAATTTTCCATGTCTCTGCCAGTAAGTACCAGGCAGTCAAATAGGCTCACAAGCCCACCTGTGTGCCAGGGAAAGCAGAAGACATGGTCATGAACAAAAAACCATCTGCAGACCTGAAAGTGGCATTGAGCTTCCAACCAGGCTTAAAAGCTCCACACATGGAGTGGTTCCTTTGTCCAGGCGCTGCAAAATGTCTTCATTGCCTGATCTCAATTCCCCATAATTCCCTTTGGAGAGGAACTTTTTGTGTTATGTTTTTTGGAAGAATCACAGAGGCTTACAGAGGGCGAAAGTGTTGCACAGAGTTATATCCTGTCCACAATAGGGATCCCTATCTCACAGGACTGTGAGGAGTCAGAAGTTCAGGAGAGGGGACACCTGAGAGCAGTACATTAAGTGCTCTCACCTCTGCCATCTCTTCTTCCTGACCATTGTTTTTATGCAGTTGAAGAATACACAGTTGCTGCCCGCAGGCACTTGTAGCTGGCTGAGGGGTTGAGGGGCCCTCAGGCCACTTCCTCTAGCCCATGGCTGAGCTGAAGTCTTGACAAAGGAGCCTTCAGGCACTTCTCATATTAGGAATGTTTCTGAAATGGAAAAATATAAAATCAGAAAGGAAGTGTTTGGGCCTTATCTTACATTGTTTATCAACATTTTTGCTGAAATTTATGACATTTCTGTGAGCACAAGATTAGCCTTGGTATTTTTTCTGGGACATGTAAAAGATTTTTTCCTTTCTTTTTTTCCTCTGCACTCTTTCCCTAGAGGACTTGGAAGCCAGGGTCTTTTTAGGACAATTTAAAGCTCTGGAAAATTGATCTGTGAGTCTATACTTTTAGCCACGTACCTCCAACATCTAGATGACATCTTCGGAGGTCCAGATGATGTACTCTGTATAGAACAAAGTTAAACTAGATGAGACCAGCTCAGTATTAAGAACCAAAACTACAGATCTATTTCTAGCTGTGAACGCAAGAGATGAAAAAGGCAATTCAGCACCAAGTCTTTACAAGTAAATATTCAGAGCATGATTTGACACTCGGCTTCAAGTGCACGGATCTAATCAATTATAACCCAACTTCTTGGCTTATTTTGTGCCATTTTCCAATCTCTCACTAATCTCCAGAGTATCGGCCTAAAATCCTGCCTCACACTGAGACTCAGAGAATGGCCTGTTGGCCCACAGCCTCAGTGTGCCCTAAAAAAGCAAAGCCGGCAGTATTTAGTTACCTTCCTCTTGCCATAAAGACTTTTCTCACTTCCTAGGTATTGTAAATTTCTTAAGATGTGAGCCCAGAAGGAAGCTGTGACATGAATTAATTAACTTAACCCAGACTTCCAAAGAGAACCCAATTGGAGAGCCTGAGGGAGACAACTTCAGGAAACCTGAGAGCATATTTGGTTAGATAGGACTTCCATGTGCGATTTTATTTTTCCTTTTTTTAAAGATTTATTTATTTATGCATATAAGAACTGGGAGAACTGGGGTGCAGGCCAGAGGTACAAGGGGTGAGCGGATTCACCAGAGACAAAGTGGGGAACAGAACAGGTAGACTGAGTGAAATGCACTGCTGAGGGGAGCATCAGGCGAGGTAGGAGAGATCTGCTGGACTATGTGGGTAGCTCCCTAGCTGATCGGGGATCGATCTCATGCTCCAGAAGCTACGGATAGCTTCACTGTGCTGTGTTTAACCCCTTGCACCACCAGGGAGGCCCCCACATATGATTTTAAAGAGAAGTGTAACATAGGCTCTTTACTGTGTTAACTAGGGTGTGGGGGCACATGCCTGTCCTGCAGCCAACATCACTTATGGCTGGAGAAGCTTCGCAGAGCTGGGGATATTCCTGC